TTACAGGTTCTGGGTCTGCCCCAGGTTTCTGCCAAAGGCCACTACCTRAATAAATAGATTTTCTTATGTTTTCAGTGAATGTTTTTCTCTTTCTTTAGGTCCTCTTTCATGGCTGGATGGCTCACCTGTCACCTTTTCAAAGTGGGTCAGAAGGCCACCGCCGGGCGCCACATGTGGACACATACTGAGCAACTCAAATTTCCATTGGGCGGCCACAACAGACTGCAACCAAAAAATGCCTTTTATCTGCCAGTTCGGTACGCATTCAAATGCCAGCGTCTTTTCTTAGAGTCTGRGCGAAGTCATAAACTGAATCACTTTGCACATTTACCTCCTTGAACTGCTGTTTTTCTCAGGTTCTGGGAAAAGCATTATCTGCGCGKGTCACAACACCACTCTGCAATGCGCCTCTGGTCAAGTGTTAATGATAGACGGTGGCTTCTACGGTCACAGCAACACTCATTGCTGTCGGTCCAGGCTCTCTGCGCCAACATTTGCACCCGATGAGTGTGGCTGGGTGGATGTTGGAGACCCTGTTAAAGGTAACACACACAATCTATCAGGTCTGAATAAACTCATAAGACAGATATTAATCATATTTTAATTCATGTGTGAACTTAAAGCACATTATGTCAATTACGTCATCCAGATTTAGATTTTATCCAAGCAATAATTATGTCTTGTGTGTTCAGCTGAGTTCAGAAAGAGGAAAACAATTGTAGCTCGAAAGGTTTCCGCGCAAATGGAGACATGAAATTCAATCCACTCATTGAATGCAGTGTTTGTTTTTCTATCACAAAGAACATGTTTCACCCAAGACTTGTTTGAAAAGAGTAATGACCCATCAGGGCATTTGAAAACAAAATATGTTGTTAGCTTAAAAGCTTGATACCTTGCACAGACAATACTGATCCTCTACTGTGAACAAATATTGAGTCATGGTTTAAACTGAGGAGGATTTAACATCTATTCATTCTGAACTGAATCAGCTGCAAGTTTGTTCTGTAGCTTTTGTCAGTTTGCATCAGGGGGAATACCTTTTAAAGTTTATTTGAGCTAAATTAAGCTATGACCAATGGAAAATCAATAACATACTGTATTCTGGTTTAAGATATCTCATTCGGCCGAGACATAGAGGTTTATAAAAACAACAACAAAAGTCMTCATTCAGGTCAGAGATGGAGACTYATCGTGGCAGAATCAGCTGAAAGTTTCAGGATTTGTTTCCCACTTTTGGATGATTTTTCTGACTCCTAAATGTTTCAAACATTTAATGCAAGTTAAATTTATAATTTGGAAACAGAAAAGGAAAGTGCACCACAGTTAGAGTTTAAAATGTGACTGAAATTTCTGATGCTCTGTAGAGAGTCCTCCTGTCTGTGTTTTTCTTCTTGAAGTATTCTCCAGTTTCCATCCACAGTCCCTGAAGTATTACAGAGCGTGTTAAGTGGCGATACTAAATTGGCTTTAGGAGGAGGGAGTGTGAGTGTGCACGGCTCTGTGTCAGCCCTGTGATGGACCCACCATCTGCCCGGGGTCTTCTCCTAAGTTTATCTTCTTGGCACACATTTTATCAGCAAAATAATAATTTTCCTGCAGATTTGTGCTTAATTTTTTGCAGCTTTCTGTTTGTTTGTTAAAGAGGACATCATTGAAAGCACAATTTAAAAAAAGTAGCTGATGATTTGTGACTTTGACAGCTTTTTTTATTTTACTTTCAGCATTTAGAAACATAATTGTTTTTCTAACAGTAATGAGCTGATAATATTAAAGTAATCAGATCTACATATGTGCCCACAGAGGAGATAATGAACAAATTGAACAGGTGCGCTGCAAAGCAAAGGTCAGACTCTGGAAAACAAATCAAGAAGTACAAAAAAAAGAAAGAAACCATTATTTTAAAGTAAGAAAATTTAAGTCTCTTTAACATCTGGTAAGAATACCTCCCTTTTGTTTTAATGTTACTTGGTGCATTTTATTTTCAGTTTTTATTTCAAGTATTTTTTACTCTTAAGCACTAGCCTGGCCCTTCCCTTCCTACACAGTTCCCTTCTCTKCWCAGTCTGGGATTTCTCCCAYAGACAAGGGTTTCTMCGGCAGAATTTCAACCGGGCCAATCAGTGAGCAGGAGGCGGGGTTGTGAACGACAACAACCATTTTCAACGCCTGTAGTTTGGTAACGGCAGCAGAGGAAGTGAATGAAGCCGGTGTTGACAAGACTTCCAAATTAAATAAATTTGTCTCACAAAGCCTGCAGCACTCATTTACAGTCGTCTCGYCRGCTCAGTACTTCTCAGGGGATGCTTGTTTRAAGCGCACATATGTCCAGTTAGCTTCTTAGCTTAGCTTCCTTCACAGTTGAACTGGCCAAACATTAGCGATTGTGTAAATCAAATCTAGTCGTTTCAAACATCAGAGTCCACATCTTCAACAAGAAATCATTTGTCAATAGTCAGGGTTCCAGATCCGTACGAAGCAAATCAAAGGACAAGGGACTGTTTTTACTGGTTACTTAAGTACAGCTTCTTCTTCTTTTAGTTTTCTTAAAGTGCCGCAAATTTTTTAATAATACATTATTACAATCACCTGGTTTCCTGTACTTCATTTAACTTCCATAAGGATGCCAGTAAACAGCATCAACTCTGTTTTTATTAGATTTTCAATAATTAAAGCTTTGTTCATTCAGCCAGAATCACTGATTCTTGTACTTTCTAGCTCACTGTCAAGGTCAGCAGGTTTGCCAGATCACTGAAATTCTGAACTCGTTTGATGACCTCTGTCCTGAGCTGAGAGGCTACCTGACTGTGGACTACCACTGCAAAGACGGTAGGATATTTACTTTTTAAAGAACCCTAACCCTAGCAATAATCTATAGCTAATTGGTTTAACTACGGGTTGAACTGTCTTGTCTGCAGCAATGTCGATATGACACACATAAACTCATTATTTAGCTCAGCGTGTTTCTGTTTCACCACATTTATTCTTTTCAGTCAAACATCAAAGCTTTGGGAAAGTTTGGACAGATTTTTTTTTTTTCCTTTGACTTGATCTGATATTAAACAGCAAACGATTCTCTCACCTGCAGAACTTTAGCTCATAAAACACTGCAGGTAATCKTACCTAAACAACACATACTGTTTGTCTTTCTGACAAATCTGAAAGAAGAAAAAAGCCTGATAGTTCTGGTTTTGTTTATGCTTTTTTTTCTTTTGGCATCTGTGCAGTCCTACTTTTTATTTTTTTTTTTTAGAATAAAAGAAACATCCTGTTAAACCCCATCATATGATTTATTTAGTGTGAAATTGTGAAGGTTTATTTCGTATTTGTTGGTCCTTCTCCAGTGCTCACACTGTCCGTGTCTGTTGCTGCCGTGTCTGAAGACGTCACAATATTTGTCCACTGGCCCGGGGAAAACCACTGCAAGTTAAACACCGGAGATGGTCAGATTTTTGATTTAAAAGGGTAAGTAGCAACTTTAATGGACTAAATCACCATACGTGACTCATTATGTGGGTTTGATTTAATATTCCAAAAACTTTTAATGAATCCATATTTACCACAGAGAAGAATTTTTCTGCGTAGGAGTTAAATTTTGAGTTTTAACTCAAATGTCCGCCCACATACTCAATGTGATGGATCTGAGCTGTGATAAACTCCTTTTAACTGATGTAAAGCCTTCTATGATCCCCTTATAGCTCCTACATAACAGGTTCAACAGGTTGTTAACACACCCATCACTTCTTCAGTTCAAACAATTGTCCTGAATTTTAGTTTAGGTTATTTATAGTTTAAAATTATTTCATTTAAAACAAAAAAATTTATACACATTAAAAACAAAAGATATACGCAACATATCACAACAAAAAACAATATATACAAATCAAATTGAAATGAAAGGAGGCAAAAAAAGAAAAAAAGTCTTATATGTCCCTTTTTATACAATTAATTTAAAGCAATAATAATTAGGAATAAAAAGAAATCAATTCATTCTCAAGCAACAACTTAGAAATACATTATAGAGTTTCATATTTCTTTAACAAACTTATTATCTTTCTCTTGAACCAACATTGAACCAACATTTTTATAATCACTTTCCAGATTATTCCACAATCTTATTCCCTGAACCGAAGTGCATCGATCCTTCAAGTTTGTTCAAATTCTAGGTTTTACAAACATCTCAAGTCCTTTAAGATTATAAGAACTTTCTCTCTTAACAAAATATAACTGGATGTTTAAAGGCAACAGTTTTTATGAGCCTTATACATGAGCTGCAAAACATTATAATCAACCAACTCATAAAATTTTAATAATTTTAATTTAGAAAATAATATATTCGAAGGGTGACTGTAATGTTGTCTGGTGACAATTCTGATGGGTCTTTTCTGTAAAATAAAAGTAGGATTTGTGATTGTTTTGCACACTTTACCCCAGACTTCAACACGGTATACCAAGTGTGGAACAACAATATGAATAGAGCTTTATCATTGAATAACTCATTTAATTTATACAGTACTCCAACAGATTTAACTATTTTTGTTCTTAAGTAATTCACATGAGCTCTCCATGTCAGAATTGTTTTATTTAATTGAAATGGTATTAAGATTAATGCACTTGTCAGATTTTAAATATTTTTGTTTTTTACTTTGACGAACCGCTGCCAGAGTTCTTATTGTTCTGCCAAAGGCTAAAAACGTCCACATTAACATCCCTCTCATTTGCTTCCATGTGAATTTTCTCAGGTCGGGGAGCGTCTCGGTGCACAGATACACTCGTCCTGATGCATTTGTTGTGGCAGTTGAATGCACCGACAGAGAAAGACACATTACAGCCCAGAGGATAATTACCATTCAGGAGCCYGTTACAGAGATTGGTGTCATCAGGTGCTACGCTGGAAATGTGTCCTTTTCTGAAACCAACTGCCGAGCTCTGCATGGAGCAGTGTTTCACATTCAAATGGAAGTGAAAGCAGGTGGGCGCCAAGTC